CAGATGTAATTATTCCAAAGACCTTCAATTCATCAAATACCAACAAAATGTTGTCTGAGTATTTTGGTGATTCTTCTGGTTGATAAGATATTATTCTGAAGATCTCATGAATTATTCCAAACACCTTACAGTCATCAAATAATGCATAATGTTCTCATGATAGTTTGGCTATTATTTTCGTTGATTCGTTATTATTCTACAGATTTCTAATTGTTCAATAGATAACATCATGAATCGAAGATATTCTATCAAGACAGTCGGTTGATCAGACATTATTCCAAAGACCTGATATCGATCAAATACCAGCATAATGTTTTCTGGGTGTTTCGGCACTTCTTTTGGTTGGTTAGTTATTATGCTGGAGATCTCTAATTGTTCTGTAGATCAAATAATTCTTCTAAGATATTCTTGCAAGAAAGACGGTTGATCAGGAATTATTACAAAGACCTTCAATTGATCTAATACCTGCAAACTATTCTCTGGGTGTTTTGGAAATTCTTCTGGTAGGAGAAATGACTCTAATGTTTGTCTGTGGATCTAAGATTGGGTCCATCGCTAAAAATCTGCAATATTTATATTTAATCTAGATGAACGCGTCATTGGGACGGTACTAATGGATATTGTTGGTCGCTATTGAAAATCTAGTCCATTGCTGAATTTAAGTATGGGCCCAAATTAGGGGCATTTTTTTTTTTGCTGTTGTCTGATGACGACTAAGACAATGGTTGGTCCATCTTGCCAAGGGGCATTTAGGCCGACATTACAGCCATTTCCCCTATATTAGTATTGTTTCTGCATATTCTTGTTGTTCAATAAATCAAAGCATGCCTCTTACATATTTTTGGATGTAAATCGGTTGATCAGGAATTATTCCAAAGACCTTCAATTCATCAATTACCTGCATAATGTTTTCAGGGATTGTTCTAATTGTTCTGTAGATCAAATCATGCATTTAAGATATTCTTGCAAAAAAGTCGGTTGATGAGGAATTATTGCAGAGAGCTTAATTGATCAAATACCAGCATAATGTTCTCTGGGCATTTTTAAAATTCTTCTGATTGATAAGTTATTGTTCTGCAGATTTCTAATTACACTAGTTTACAAAAAAAGTAAAACAAAATTAACTTGAATCTCAGGCTAATGATTCTCATGTAAAATCGTGCGCTGAATCCAAAAATGTATTCAAAAAATCGCAGTAGGACAGTTTTCGAGATATAGTTAAATAATGAAAAACAAATATCTCCGGTTTTAATGTGACTATATCAATTATTTTAACGCCAAATCAAAGGAAAGAAAATTTTCATTCGATTAACTGAACATCAATTGTCAGTGAGATTATTGGTATTGTTGTTGATTAATAGTTTGTTTATTAATTATTATTTTTTGCATTTTTCTAAGAAAAATTGAATTTCTGCTAAGTTTTTAAGCAGTGTAAATAAAAATGTTTGTAGTGGTTGTACAATTAGAAATTGGCTTTTAACGTTTGAAAGCAATTTATCATCTTTAATTTGGAGTTAAACAAATAATATAGTTTCATTACAGTCGGAGATATTTGTATTTTAATAAACACATTTTTTTAAGTGAAATTTATTTTTTTAATTATATTTCGAAAACTATCCTACTGAATTTTTTTAGGCTACATTTTTGAGTTAAGCGCACGATTTTACATGGGAAATGACCATCAGCGTACAAAGTTCAAATATGATGTAAACTAGTGATATTCCAAAAATCAAATCAATTTTGTTAAATATTCTTACAAGAAAATCAGATGATCAGGAATTATTCCAAAGACCATCAGTTGATCCAATACATAACAGGAAATAGAACATTTAGTAAACACATTAACAGAACTCATCCTAAATTTGTCACAAAATTTGTTTAGATTGAATTAATTTGTCCATTTGAACATTCGTCTATTGGACCTTGTTTTCCATTCAACCTTTTGTCCATTCGACCTTACGTACATTCGACATTTTATCCGTTCGACCTTTGAACCATTTTTATTTCATACGACTTTTTGTCTATTCGCCCTTTTGTTTAGTTCGACTATTGTCCATTCGACCTTTTGTTCATTCAAACTGTTGTCACTTTAAATTTCATTCGACCTTTTGTCCCTTCGATCGTTTATCCATTTGAACATTTGACTATCGGCCTTTTCTCCTTCGACCTTTTGTCTTTCGACTGTTTTTAATAGGTATGAAAGATTAAAAGGGAGTCAAATGGTCGAATGATGCGTAGGGGAACAAAAGATAAAATAATGGTAAGGGGGACAAAACGTCAAATGGTTCCAAAAGTTACAAAAGGTTGAATGGGCAAAAGGCCGAATAGACAAAATGTCGAATGGTTCAAAGAGAGGCAACAGGTCGAATGGCCAAAATTCAATAATGCACCCAGATATCATAAGGAAATAGAAGAAAATATAAGAATACATATCCAGAGAACTTCGAGATTTGGGCGTTATTGCTTTTGTAAACAAACACGTCAATCGCCGATTTCTCGCGAATAATAGCTCAATCTCGGGATTAAATTATACCCCATGCTAGATAAATTATCCCTCTACCTGTTTGTGTTGTTAATTTTCTAGGCTGAGCTTTTATTCGCCAGAAATCGTCCATTGAAGCGTTTGTTTACAAAAGTAATTACGCCCAAATCTCAAATCACTCCGGATATAATTTTTTGACAATCAAGCTAAGTTCTTTCGTATAATAATTTAGTATTATAATATAAAATATGATTATTTTAACAATACTGGACGTAGCTAGGAGGAGGGGCTGAAAGCGGGGTTGTTTTGTATATTGAAACTAGGTTTTCCGCAGTGTATATCAAATGTATTAATTCAAATGAATGTATTTATGTTATATTCATTCATAGTAGGAAAACCGTGGTTTGTCCGCTTTTTGACCTGATCTTGTCATCCTGTAGGATTTTATTTTGTCCTTTCGGCCTTTTGTCCATTAGTCCTTTTGTCTTTCGACCTCTGATCATACACACAAAAAACTATCGTTAGTAAAATTTAAAAATCCATTGGTAGAATTAAAAGTTATCGTTGGTTCTTTTTGGTAGAAAGTCTTTAGCTTTCAAAACAAAAGTCAGCTAACTGTCAATTCAAAAGTAACTCGTTTTTTACTTTTAAAAGTTGAAACTTTCAAATCGAATTGTAGAACTGTCAATATAAAAACCTATTTTGTTAAATAGACTCATGAAAGGATTTCATTTAAAAGATGGGCAGTTTTATCGCAATGATTTATGTTTTCATCTCAAATATGAATTCTTTTTAATTCAATTGCTTTTTACTTTGAAAGAAATAAAGCATAGACATATTTAATGATATATAATTTAGTTTATTTATATGATGCTGACTGAAAGGGTACGGCATTATGGAACTTGAAGCATGGGAAGCGTTTTACACAAATATACAGTTGGCTCAACGGCTGGTGATGGTGATGGTGGGAGTAGCCTTCCTTTCCGGCAAGTCTGACGAGGCTGCTGAAAATCAAAACACATCAATTAGGAAAATCGGAACCAAGCAAACTCTTCGAAAATTTCATCATCTTACCTCCAAATCCCGCAGCTGGAGGATTCTTCCGATCCTTCCACTTCATAGCGTAACCACGGATGTCTCCATCTTATTATTTGTATCTTACAGAAGAGAAACAAGCGCACCGGTGGATGAAAATGTGGGAAAGTTCAAGAAACTGCTGCTGCTCAAGCTAATTCTCACAGCTGCTTTTGTTTTGTTTGTTTGTTTCGCATGTCCAATTTGGCGGGAAACACAGTACTGTCAAAAACTTCGCAAGGAAGAGATTTTTTGACAATTTTACAACTTTTATTCTAAAAAAATGTCTTTTAAAATAACAAGCCGAAAATGAAAAAAACACTTTTAAATCAAAAAAAAATATTTTATATTTAAAAAATATCATAGTTGAAACTACGAAATTTGGGAAACTTATAATTTGATCATGCATTATTCTTAAAGCAACAATTTTTGTTTTTTGTGTGTAGATTCGTTTTCATCTCGTGAGCCACCTCTAATCAGCAAATGACCTAAGATTGAATTATTACTGCATTATCGTTTTGAACAACAAGTCATGAAACATTTTTTGTATGGTTATTTTGTGCTAATTGCGAGGTTAATTGTCTGAACCAATACCATATGCATTTCAATTTGGAATGACAATCATTCCACAGGTGCGTTCGCTTTTTGTATATTGTTCATCCTGTATTCGATAGGAATATCATCTAATTTCAAAACAACCGTCACCCGATTCATTCGCAAAAACTAGTTCGGTGTTTCGATGTGAATAGTCGGAGGATTCATACGAACAGAGGATGATGTTTCGGTACAGTGTATGCAAAATTCAGACCACCCACCGCCCACGACGAATTGCTTCCTCCTGTTACCGTGAACAGTGCTTTTCCGGCAAGGCGAGCAATATATGAACATGATGCCGTTAGGTATCGCGGGCGGTGGCGCCAATCAACACTCGCGCGTGCTGATAATTAAATTTTATGATGGAAAATAAATCAGTGCTCAGCCGTGTGATTTCACACGGCAGCCTTGCAATTTTAACAATTGGTCCTCACCACACCACCGGCCGACCGTATTGGCTTGTGTTGGTTGGTAGGTATGTGTTAAAAGCAAAGCGATAACAAAGCAGCAGGATTCAAATTTCTCCGACTCTGAACTCGAGTTGACTGACTGTGTCGATGTATGGTGGGTAGGTACCTACCGAGAACCACCCCTATCACGATGGCGAATCTGCAGAGCTGTGAACAAAGAAACGATGAATGCTAATTGTTTGCCACGATACAATTACCATTATTTTTCATGGGGTCATGTTTCAGCACCGACAATATATGTGGGTGTGTTGGTTGGTTGAATGCATCCTTGATGAGAGAGAAAAGTTTAACGGTTATGAAATGGCACTTGGTCTATACCATTCTGAAATACTTGACATGAATTGACAGTACTTAAAGAGTTTATGTATCTTTCATTACAGGTCAAAGCACTGGACAAGGACTTTGGAGAATACGGGCGACTGTCGTACTACATCATTTCGGACGAAATACAGGAATACTTCTCCATAGATAAAGAGAAGGGTGAAATCGTGACCAAGAAGAAGCTGGATCGTGAAGAAAAGAAACTCTACGAGATACCGATTATGGCCGTAGATTCTGGTGGCCGTGCGGGTTTTACCACAGTTAGGGTAAACATTGGCGATGAAAATGACAATGCTCCCGTGTTCCTTCTTCGCGAGTACAAGGCGTTGATACAAGGAAACTTAACTATCAATACGACGTTCTTCCGAGTCAAGGCGATAGATACTGATGACAATCAGAACGCAGTGGTTAAGTATTCGATCTTTGATTCGCAAAATAGCGGAATCAAAGAACTGTTCGGAATCGATGAGAATACTGGAGGAATCTATCTCAGGAAAAGTGCTATGCAATGGGGTAAGTGTTTCCGTAAGGATTGTAATAGACATTATTAATTGATTCTATTTTTTTTTTTTTTTGCTCAGAAAACCAGCTCTTCCAATTCTTCATCCGTGCCAATGACTGCGGTGTTCCATCTCTGTACTCTGATGTACCTATTGACATCTACATCATGAGTTCAGCGGACAATCCTCCAGTATTCGAGAAGAAGGAAAAACTACTTTTCCTTTCCGAAAGCTCACTTCCGGGAACGGTTATCACTAGATTGAAGCTGTCCGGAAACGTAACGGCCAAGTATCGTATTCTTTCGGATGAACTCGAAGAGCCACAGTTCTCGATCAATAATGTTGGCGAACTGAGGCTAGCTAAAACACTGGACAGGGAGATAAATGACATTCATCTGATAGCCATCCTTGCTGAAACTGATTCCAGTCCTCCTCTGACGGCAGTCACCGATGTCAATCTCCACGTACAAGATGAAAACGACAATACACCAATGTTCGAAAGCAACCCATACTCGTTTGCTTTGGCAGAAAACATCGAGAAAGGAAGCTCGATCATGAAGCTTACTGCACGAGACTCGGACAGTGGCTCCAACGGAGACATACGATATTCTCTCTCCGCGGATGTTGGTGACATTGTCAATATATTTGACATCGATGCCTACACCGGATGGATCACCACTCTCGTTCCTCTGAACAAGGAGAAAAGAGAAGATTACAAATTCCAAGTTCTCGCCACCGATAATGGCCAACCGAAACATTCCACTCGTACAACGGTCATTATTCGACTAAAGGACTACAATGACTGCCCTCCAACATTCAAAGAATCTCACTACAAAGCTAGTGTTATCGAAGATGCACTGCCCGGTACTGTCGTACTGCAAATTGCTACTACGGACAAGGACGTAGATTTGAAAACCCCTATCGAATACTACATAATTTCGGGTGATCCTCTATCTCAGTTCCAAATCAAAAACAGTGGAGAAGTCTTTGTCGTAAAAGCCCTGGATCGCGAAAGCATATCACAGTATGAACTGGGCGTCATCGTCACCGATGGAAAGTACACATCGACAACAAACATATCAGTCTCCGTGCTCGATGCCAACGATAATCCTCCATATTGTTTGAAGTACCGATATCGAAATCAGCTTAGCGAAGGAGTTCCCCTTGGAACATTCGTCCTGCAAATCCAAGCGAACGACATCGATGAACCAGCAAACAGTCGATTACGGTTCTATCTCACCGGTAATGGTGCTGAAGAGTTCAACCTCGATAAGGATTCAGGTCAACTGAAAACCGCTAGACAATTGGATCGTGAAACGCAATCAAAGTTCCACCTCGTCGCTCACGTCCAAGATCGCGATCACCCCGGATGGGAGTGTTCTTCACAAATAGAAATTTCAATCACCGACTTGAATGATAATCCACCAGATTTTTCGATGAACCCGTATAGTGTCACTCTTCCCGAAGATGCTGAAGTAGGAACTCTAGTTACCAAGATCCATGCCACAGACGCTGACATTGGCATCAATCGAAAGATCAAGTATTCGTTCATTGATTCCTATCGGGATCATTTCAAGATAGCTCCAGATAGCGGAATTGTTACCTTGGCCAAACCTCTAGATCGAGAAATTAAAGCTGTCTACAATTTGACGGTTCGTGCTACGGACCAAGGAAATCCTCCTCTGTCCAATTCGGCCTTCCTGGTCGTAAACGTTCAGGACATCAACGACAATCCTCCAGAGTTTACTTCTAAACACTACTTCGCTTCGGTACAAGAAGATAGCTCCATCGGTTCGGACGTCCTCAGAGTGCTAGCAACCTCGAAGGATACTGGAATCAACGCGGAAATCACATACTCAATCATCGGAGGCAACGAACATCGCAAGTTTTCCATGCACAACAAAACTGGTATTCTATTTTTGGCTGATACTGTTGATTACGAGCGGGCCAAAGACTACTTCCTGACCATACAGGCGGTAGATGGTGGAACTCCTCCACTAAGCAATTTGGCAACGGTTAATATCTCCGTAGCAGACTGTAATGACAATCCGCCACAATTCACTGCCAACTCGTACACGGCTACAATACGCGAAGATGCCCAGAAGGGAGACAAGATGTTACAGATACGGGCAAATGACATGGATTCGGGAGAGAACAGTCGTGTCAGTTATCGAATCGAGCGAGGTGATCGAATGGGTCAGTTCTCCATAGAGGAAGATACCGGTTACATATCCGTGGCGGGAACTCTGGATCGGGAATCCATTTCCAGCTACGTGCTGGAAGTTCAAGCAAGAGATCATGGAAGCCCGCCGTTGAGTACTTATGTTCTTGTAAACATTGAAATATCCGACGCCAATGACAATCCTCCAGTATTCACGAATCAGAACTACACGGCAGTTGTCCAAGAAGACAAACAAATTGGCTACACGCTGCTTAAGTTCGAGGTTACTGATGCTGACACTGCTCCAAATGCCGCCCCGTACACGTTCGATTTCCGTTCTGGCAACGATGGTGGTGCTTTTCGTATTGAACAGGATGGCATTCTGCGAACGGCATCTCGCTTCAATAGTAAAATAAAGGATTCGTATCTACTGCAGGTCCGCGTATTCGATAATGGATCACCTCCACTGTACTCGGACACTTGGGTTTCAATCAAAATAATAGAGGAATCTCAGTACCCTCCTGTCATTACTCCGCTGGATGTCTCAATCAATTCCTTCCATGATGAATACCCAGGTGGAGTAATAGGAAAAGTATTCGCTACCGACCAAGACCAGTACGATACACTTACCTTCGCCTTAGCTATCACCGCTGGAGTCCTGTACTCTCCAATGAACCTTTTCAACATATCCCGTAACGATGGAGTACTGTACGCATTCCCTCGACTGGATGTAGGAGACTACCGAGTTAACGTTACAGTATCTGATGGCAAGTTTGCTTCGTATACGATTGTGAAGATTGCCGTCGAACTAATTACGGACGAGATGCTAACAAACTCGATTGTGATTCGCTTCACGAAAGTAAGTCCAGAGTCCTTTATCTTAAGTCACCGAAAAGGCTTTATTCGCTCGGTGCGGAACTCGATGGGTTGTAAGATCAAAGATATCATTATCATCTCCGTGCAGAAATCAAACGATGATATCAATCTCATTCACCATCGCTTAAAGCGCGAATCTGGCCTTCAAAACGTTACTCAGCAATTCGAAAGAACTCGCAACCGACGTGGAACCATGCTGGATTTGGATGTGATGTTCACCGTACGGAAAGGACAAATGGGATACTACTCAGCTTACGAGATTCGCAAAGCAATTGATGATAATCTGGAAGAGATCGAAGATGCCACCAAGCTACAAATAGACGAAGTTGTCAAATCGAAATGTCTGCCAAACTTCTGTATTCACGGCGAATGTGAAGACAAATTGGTGCTGGACCCTAAGATAGTCAACCCAATTTCGACGGACGTAACGAGCTTCGTATCGGCTCGTCACATTCACAAGATGGAATGCAGTTGCAAGGAAGGCTACGGTGGTGACAAGTGCCAACATGCAGTGAATGAGTGCTCCAAATCACCTTGTCAGAATTACAAAAACTGTGTTCCGGATTCATCCGACCAAGGCTATCACTGCATTTGTCCGGAAGGTTTCGCTGGACCAAAGTGCGATCGAGACATCAGTAAGTGCAATGATGAAACATGTTACACACCGCGGAATCCTGTGTCGTTTAGTGGAAAGAGCTACGCTCAATACAGGGTGGAAAAAGAAATTGCCAGAAAGAATCTGGAGGATCAACTGATACTAAGTTTACGAATAAGAACGGTGCAACCGACAGGAAATATCATGTACTCGGCGGGTAAGGTGGACTACAATATACTGGAGATTGTAAACGGGGTGGTTCAGTACCGTTTCGATTTGGGCTCCGGAGAAGGAATGGTCAGTGTGACTAGCATCTTTGTATCGGATGGTCTATGGCACGAGGTACGCTTAGAACGGGACGGGAACAGTGCCCGGGTGATTGTGGATAATAAACACGTGGCAAATGGAAATGCTCCAGGTGTAAATGGTGTGCTGAATCTACAGTCGGACGATATCTTCTTTGGAGCGGAAGTGAAGCAACATCCAACGGTGCTGGGATTCGAGGACATTCAGCGTGGTTATACGGGATGCATGGATGAAATCAAGTTATCGAAGGTTCCGGTTCCTTTGCACATGAATGGTGCAAGTTCGGTCGCCAGTCTTCGTCGATTCGCTAACGTAGAATTCAGCTGTGATGCTTCATCTATCTTGGTGCCACTGGGAGTTTGTGGAACGCAACCTTGCTGGAATGGCGGAACATGTACCGATATTGGAGCGGGTAACTTTGAATGTTTGTGTCACTCGAGATTCTCTGGAAAATTCTGCAAAGAAGATCAAGATCCATGCGCTTCATCGCCGTGTTTGTTTGGTGGAAAGTGCACCAAGGCAGGACTCGGTAACTACACCTGTGATTGTCCGGCTAGAATGTCCGGTAAACGGTGTGATTATGGCCGGTTCTGTACGCCAAATCCATGCAGAAATGGTGGCGTTTGTGAAGAAGGCGATGATGGACCGTTATGCATGTGTAGAGGATATACTGGATTAACGTGTGAAATCGACATTGATGAATGTGAGAAGCAACCTTGTAATAATGGAGCTACATGTATCAATGAAGCTGGCAGCTTCCGTTGCGTTTGTCCACCTGAAATGACTGGTACGAGTTGTGGGGATCCTATGTATTCGTTCCCACTGCGGATTCCCTTCAATCAGGTTACCCAAGAGCAGTGGATTATTGTCGGTTTCAGTATAGCCGTTATCGTGATTCTAGTGATAGTGATATGGGGAGTTGTGTGCGCCTGCCGAAAGAAAAGACGAACTCATCGACACGAAAAAATTAACAACGATCCCAAGGCAATGGTATTGAATCCTGTGTCTGACAATTCGCAATACAAAAGATCATCTAAAATGAGCAATCTGGAAATCATCCAGAGGGATATGCAACAAAGGCCTGTATCGTACACTCCCAGTAGTAACAACGACCACGCCTACACGTGCAACGCCATGCTGCAATACAATAATCTAGACACACTGAGGAGCTACGGTTCGGCTGGCGATGAGCTGGAAAATGTGCCACCAGAATATCGGAAAGCGTCGTGCCGGCCGAATCAACAGATGGTTAACATTAACAGTGGCCACCCCTCCAGCGATACGGAATCTCTGCACAAACAAAAGTGGGCCGATCAGATGCACATGCAAACCTTCACCGATAACAAAATCAACAACGATCTGAAGCGAATAAGTCCGATAACGTCACTGGATTCCCACCGATCCGTTTCGCTGAAGCAACAGCAAACGGGCATTCTGCCGGGCCGATTGCTCAACATGCCACACTCGCCGACCCATCTGCAACCACCGCACAGTTTCGAGGAATCACCGGGTCTGTCGCAGGGCGCCTACCACTGGGACTGCTCCGACTGGGTTGTACGGGGGCACCATCCGCTGCCAAACATCACCGAAGTCCCGGGCAGCGAGGTGCCCGACTCGTCGAGCTTCCACAGCAACGAGAGCAACGAGTCGCACCCTAAGAACAACCTGCTACCTCCAAGTAAGTGGATAGGTTTTATTTAAGAACTCATTTGTTCATGTCCGGTATATAGACAGAGGAAAGCAGGGCAATATGGGACAATTGGACAATGTGGCCACCTGCTTAAAAATCTACTTATTGAACATATTTTACAAAAAAAAAACCCTGTTGCAGGCTTAATGCTTGAAGCCTACTTCAACTAAACATTTGATTTAAGTCTAAGAAGATAAAAATATTCGAAAAAAAAGTTAGACTAGCTCAAAATGTCAAAACCGTTATAAGATTTCTGAATCAGGAAATAAGGTCTATCAGAAGTTTCTTATAACTTATAGTTCATTTCCTTCAGCAGCTTTATAAATGGTCATTGGTTTCTTATATGACACGATGTTGTTCTTGATTTTGATAAACATTTAAGATTTTCTTAATAAAATATTACTTAAGGCCATTCGAGGCAATATGAGCAATATTTCAACTTAAATTCTTCAAAATTGCATTATTGTTTTCATAAATATGACTGTATCATATTAAATCACGTGAAACAGCTGCGAAGAACTAAAACTAATAATTGTTCACCCTTCATAAAGCCTCAACAGAACATAATATTCTTACCCGTTGTTTTCAAGGATTGTACCCCAACGGTTTAATTTCAGATTCAAAGGTTTACTTTTAATACTCAATTTGTATTCATTATGTAAATAGGGCTTGAAACTCTCCATTTGGTTTAACATCATTCGAATTTTTCACTGAATTTGGTATAATTAGTGAGGATTTTCTTGAGGTGACCAATCTGCCCCACTTTCCCCTAGTTACTGTTTTAGCCTAAAGAGCCTGAATTTATAAAGAGATGACATCTTATCCATTTGACAGATCTTCTGCTCGATTGGAATGACTTTTCCTATGATTTTGACATACAATCGATTGTTCAAATTTTGACAGGTCGCCTCTTTATAAATTTAGGCTCTTTATTTTAGCCATGTCTGGTGCTGGCCTCTTTCGTAACATTGTTCCAATATCTCAAGGGCCCATATTAGATTGTTAAATGTTAACGAAAGTTATTCCACAACCATTAACGATCCTCTCCTTCTATGCAGTCCTTGGACCAGTGGACCCAGCACGCGACATCGAAACACTGAACGAGGACAACGAGTCCGAGTTTGTGGATGACTCCGAGTGTGACCAGAGCGAGCAGCCGCTATCGTTGGGCTTCGAGCAAAACACTTCCATTCCATGTCTGAATCCTCTCGATAGCGGCAGTGAGGACTACAGATTCAATACAGGTTAGTTAATGCTTTTTACATATCCCAATGCTCGAATTGTGGTACTCAAGATTCCCTGTCTGATATATTTTTCTACATTGCTGCTCATCCGTAGTGCCTTTAAAAGTTAATACACGTAAGTACTTTGAAGGCACTTTTTCCCTTTCGGTACATGAATAATGATGATGCTCAATATGGTCTTCTTTCCGTATTTACAGCTGATAGTTATCTTCGACACCCGAACAGCTACTTACCCAAGTACAACATCCAGAGTGAAACGGAAGGTGAGAGCGCACCGCTGACCGGTGTGGGTAGCCGCAAGCCACTGAACGGACTGGAAATCGGTCCCCATCAGCTGGTAGACTCCGACGACGAGGACATCCAAGCGTACGGATTCCCGCAGAAACGGCGCAACCGACGGGAACCGAGTGACATCGATCTAGTTCTTCACAGTGGCGGTAATGATAAACGCATGAGTTCTAACAATTTTCAGCAATATGTACTAATCAGTTCAATTTCTTTTAGGAGAAGGAAGCTCCCTACTTAGCCATCCCCGAAATCTGAATAGCTCCAATCATTCGAATAGCGACCTATCGACGCACTTGTGCGAAATCGACGATTCCGAGTACGAGCAGGAGCAGCTGCAGCGGCCGATGCAGCAACCGCAGCAACATCAGTCCACCTCGTCCCTCTCATCCGGTGGGCCATCCCGGCCCAAGCAAAACAAGGTCAAATGGGCCAACATAGTGCAGCAAACGGAGGTCTGACAGCAGCTCGACGGCAGCGACCATTTAGTGCTAAACGCCAAGACTAACTCTAGCATTAGTTCACTTTTGATACTTTTTTCTAGGTTAACTTATTTTATTTATTTTAACGTGAACCTTTCGTAATAGCTACTTTGTGTCGTAGAAAATTTATACTACTTTTGTGTTACGGTAGATCATATGCTGCTCCTAGTTTCGCCATTAAGGTCTGTTTGTGTGAACGAAAATCAAAATTTTAATGAGTGATCTCTCGATTTTTCGCTGCAACATCATTCTTACTTCAGTTTAATGCAAATTGACAAGATTTTCAACAGATGTAAAATCACTGTTGAAATAAGAAGATCGAAGGAAACATTATTATATAAGTAGAATAATAAATTTACACAACACAAATTTGTAAAAAGAAAAGATAGCAAATCACTAGGAGACACACTTAAGTCGATCATAGCTCGAATCATTCAAACACGAAAATAAATGAGAACAATTTTGAGATTAACAAATCGCAAACCGATTCACACACACACAACTCATATTATCAATTACGGAGAAAAAAAATGTGTAAGATAGTATTTGTCTAGAAAAAAGAAAGTTGATTCGAAATGCAGCTAGCAAAACAACAAAATTCGTAAAACTCACACAACATTGTAAAACAATAAAATTTGAAGAACACTAGGTCTAATGTTTTCTTTGACACTTGAAAAGTCTATAGGATATAAGATTTTTTATTGCGCAGGTACACTGTTCGGAAGAGAATACAATCAATGACTGAAACAAAAGAGAGAAAAAAAGTTAAATGAAGAAAAACAAACAAACAAACAAACAAACAAGCAACTATTTTATATTTAAACTTCAAAATATCAACAAGCTCGAAGAAAGATTTCAGTTCTATTTATGGAATGAGGGTGAAACTATGTTTTCCATCACTACGTACATACACGCAAATGTAAGAACAGAATGACAGGAATAGAAAATTAGATAATTTCATCATTACAACCACTAACCAGTATTCATTTTTGTTTATAAACTATACAATGTACTCTCCAACTTTTCACCCAAATCCTTTCAAAATTGCGAAATCATTCTCTATATCCTGAAAAAGGTCCGTTTCTCGTTTCGAAACCACCTGTCCTGTTTGATTGTCCTATTCAAATTTTATCACACGTTTTAACTCTTATTCTACCTATCAAAAGCGAACACTGACAAGGCTCTGTTAATTCTATGGTGCTCTACTTATAAAATGAATCTACAAAACCACATCAACAATTCACTGTCTACTTATTCCTTCTTTTTTACATGTCCAATTGTATAGGTAAATAATTTAGATTTAAATTATACGTCACAAGTTATTTGTATCTGCCATTAGCCTTATTAGTTTCCCCGAACAAGTTCCCTTCCCAACTGGTAGCTACTTCCTTTATAGTAATCATTCATCAGCTAATGAGTTGGAAAACAAAACAAATCTTAGGTTAGCTCATTTATGAATGGATGGATATGTCGAACACAAATTTTCCCTTGACACGACTGGAGCAAATGAAAATGAAAATTCAAAACCGCATTTAGGGACTCAAAATATCAAAACGAACAAAAATAGACACACATTGTAATCGACGATGTAGAAACCAACTATCATTCTTTTTTTTATTTTAACCTAAAAGTAAAGTTGGTAAACCACGCATTACCATTTTTTTGTTTCGATGGAACAATTTTCGTTTCGTAAAAATTCCAATAATGAAAGGAAAACACAACATGATCACATAAAAAAATGTCGGGCGCTGCACCCAGAGCGAGTGAGCGATAGGAACGTTCGCCGGAGAATGCATTTACAACAGATCATTGTAGCGAATAGAACATTTTTATGTATTTGTTTGGAAACAGAAAACTGACACATTATTTAACATTGAGGAAATAATAAAGAAATCTGAAAAATGACGTTTTTTAAAAACTGACAGCGTTTTGGACACTTGAAGAAAAGCCCCGTGTTATGAAACCAGTTCTCTGTGCTATGTTTTGGGTCCTTTTATCATGTTTATTCTCCATCGTTCCGCTACATAAATGGAATTCACGGTATGCAGCCATTACTTGACCTTACCATAAATGGTTAAAATTGTTTACAATCCCTGCTTAACTTTAACTGAAATTGTTATGGAACTTTACTTGAACGTATGTGTGATAAAGTTTTAACTTTATGTCTTCATTCCTTTATTTAACGTCGGTCTCTGTTCCACAATCTAGTGCCAATCACCGACGGATATCGGTGCAATGTGCATGAAGGCAGCTACCACACCTGCGTAGGATATCGCACCCATTTAACACACATGGACCACTACCGAGGCCGGGACGAACGGCTTTACTTTCCTTCCGAAGGAAGACGTCACCCGAGATTTTTAAACCTCAGAAAAATTCCACCGACCTCGGCTGGGATTGAACCCAGACCCATCGGGGTGAGAAAGTAGTCACGCTTACCACTACACCACCGGCGCCGGCTTTAACTTTATAAATTATGGTTTTTTGGAACTGAACCTTACAATAAAAAGGGTGTACCGTTTAAAATCCGCACACACACAAAATTCATTCTCAAAATTGTATACAGTGCTTTCCCGGTTTTGTCAGCCCCATCTGAAATTAGGCTGACAAAAACGGGATTTTTTTTTTTTTCAATATTTTAACTTTCAAAACGATTTTAAGTGTAACCATTATTTGATTTGATTTTTGATTTTGATTTTGCGAGACAGAAGGGGGTCTTATGAAGGCCAGATCTCAATTCTCAAGGCCAAATTCCTGAACTTGAGTGGAACATGGTTCTCACGTCAGACTATAATGTCTAAAATGAACCACATGCCCCAACCAACCCCTAGAACGGCTCCCATATACTCTCCATGCTGAATCGTGAGTCCCCCCTTTTCCCATATCATTACATGCAAAATAATAACCCGATGCAGGTCAATTGAATATGCCTAATTGAATTAGTTGCAATTATATTGTTAACAGTAATGACAGTATAATATAGTAATTTAATAAAATAAATATTTACCTGTTAATAATGATCGAGGTTGGTAAAAACTTAAAAGGCACCAAAGGTGGTACAAATAAAAGCAAAAACTCCACTGAATAATAATAAATGAAACCGATGAATGACTGTTTGTCGTTTTGTTTGCGCTCTCGTCGTCTTCAAATTCGCTCATAAGGAAATCATCTTCGCTGTCTTCATCCGAGAAGGAATATAGTTGATATCGTTGTTTTCTTCAAAACTGCATCGTATTGATCTAAATAAAAGAAAAGAGAAAACAAAATCGCCACTCGATCAAGCCAAATTCAAAGGTAGTATCTGTGTGATGTAGCATTCCAAAAGTGTTGAGCCAAATAATGGAAATTAATTTTTTACATTTTTGTAACTATTAGACTCAATTATTTAAAAGAAACAATTCATATTTTATACTATAATTCTAAACTACATAATTATTTAATTTTGGCTAGTAGTTAAATCAAAACAAACTTTGGTCCGCTACATCACAACTGGCATCACTAGTGTGCATCTTTCAAAATGTAAAGATACAGACAAGCCCTGGGACCTGGTTGCAGTTAAGCAATCCTCAAGGTTATGCCAATGCCCAGGGAACTTTCAAAACGATTTTAAGTGTAACCATTATTGATCCACTATTAATGGACTTATTGATGAATATTTAGTGGGTTTTATTTTTGTAATTTTTTTATTTATATTGTTTTATAATAAGTTTATTATGTTTTTATTTATAATGTTTTGTCCCTAAAACTCCTAATGTTTATTCTTCTATTAAATCTTTAATTCAGTTGAAGTTGTGTCGTGAAGTCTTTTTTTCTTGTATGTTTGACTTAACAATGATTTTTTATCCTTTCGACCTTTTGCCACAGACAAACAGACATAACTCTCGCAAGTTGTTAATCGAACAAGTATTTAACCACAGACAAACAGACATAACAATCGCAAGTTTTTCATCGAACAAGAATTTAACGGTCAATCTAAAAGTATCGTAGTTGGTAGTACCGCCACCTGTGGCGCGCATAGTCAATTCCCTTGCGTTTGACGTTTACACACTACCGCCATCTGTTCAGCGTATTACCCACCACAGTGTACCCAACAGATGGCGGTAATGTTTTAGCGACGATGTTTTACAGTGAGCTATATTCAATGTGCTATGTCTGTTTGTCTGTGATTTAACGGTAAATTTAAAAGTATCGTAGTTGGTAGTACCGCCACCTGAGGCGGTCATTGTCAATTCTCTTGGTTTTGAAGTTAACACACTACCGCCATCTGTTCAGCGTACTACCCACCACAGTATACTCAACAGATGGCGGTAATGTTTTAGTGACGATGTTTTACAGTGAGAAATATTCAATGTGTTATGTCTGCTTGTCTGTGCTTTTGCCATAGATTCTGTATGTGAGTGTGTGTGTGTGTGGGTATTTGCGCGTACACTTTTGTGAAATAGTCACAGTTGTGAAATAGTCAGAGTTCAACCGATCAGATCAATGTTAATATATTAGTTCCTGCTACTGCTGCTGCTTGGATGTCCGATGTGTACAGTTACGCCATCGATGAAAGAATGCATCAAACCCGACTTTTTTTTACTTTAAATGATCTTTATTTGTGTGGTTTACATGTATTAGGGTAGGTAACTACTTCTGCCTAATCGTCCATTTTGGGCCTATCAAGCAGAAAACTGTGTAGAGGATCGCAGGTGCTATGATTTGTTTGTAAACAGCCAGTTTGTTCACCCTTGAGAGGCGGGATCTGCGGCAAATCAGCGGATGCAGACACCTAACCAAGGCAGAACACTTGACTACAGTTTTCTCTACATGCGAACGGAAGAGGAGCTTTTCATCGAACAACATCCCGAGATAGGTTACTTCGGTAGACCACTCAACCCTTGTGCCATCCATGATTACAGTACAAGCCGGTTTCAGTTCGGGCCAGTCCAGTGGCAGGCACGTAGGCAACATGTTATACCGTGACAGCGGGCCCAGCACAGCAAAATAAACGATTTGAGCCCGGGACATGCTGCCTACTGTCAAATGTTGCTGTTGGTATAGCCTTGTCATTGGCCTGGTTTGGGCGATTGCCGATGGAGGAACATGATCGCTTGTGTTTTGGAGGGATTGATTTTAATTTTCCACGTGGGGGCATAATCAGCAAAGGCGCTAATGACATACAAGTTACTCTAAGACCAGACAGTCCCGAAGAAACGAGCTCAACTTTTTGGCTCAGCTCTGGTACTATCTGCGGTCCTAGTGTACACGCTAGTGTACTCGCTAACTAGCACGAATTTCAGTTGCTCCTGAAATTTCATGCTGGTAGACGCTGATGTTCTGTTTTCATTATGCTGGTGACCGTTTTTGCAAGCAGCGAGCTCATTAGCGCTAGTGAACTAGCCTAAGTGTAAACACCACATAAGGTATCATTGAAGTTTGTTCGTTATTTCGCGAGGCATCCTTCCTTTGACGGCTATTGCGGTATCATCTGCGAACAGGAAAAACACGCAACCGTCTCCGAGGGGAGGAATGTCGGAAGTGTAAATGCTGTAAAGCAAGGGGCCCAGCAGACTGCCTTGCGAGATTCCTGCTGGGATGGAAAACGTGTCTGAAAGACAACCATTCAACGATACTGTCGGGTCGAGCCTAACTCCGGCCCTGTTGTATTATATAATAAAGAACAGTAGAAACATGGCAACCCTGATAAAGTCATGTGAGGTACGTGGGATTTCCGGATAGGGAGAGAAGAGAGCGAACGTTGAGTGTACGA